ATTCAGTTTAACAGGAATCTATCCACTTGCAATATACATTCATTTCAATACTTTGGCTGCCCACTATTTCAGTTCAAATAAAGAACACAAACCCAGCTGAGTTATTTCAAAAGGAACTCTGTTTGCTCTTTCAGGGGTCAAAGGCATATTTATGGGTATTTAATCCCAGCCATTACCAACCTCTTAAAAGAAGTTCAGAAATAAAGATCTCACTGTTTAGGGAAACTCACACCTACATAGCATTGAACTGTTGCTGCCGCCAAGTTTTCACACCTATTTCTTAAAATGAGTTGATGCTCACCTAGAGAAAAGCGCCGAGTTCCTTGGAAGTGCTGAAAGTTCTTCTGCCTGTGAAATGGAGCTTCTGCATCAGAGTTTAAGCGAGGCTTCTCTCTGACTAACCTCCTCTCAAAGGAGAACTGTCAGAGACTGATCAGGAGGAGGAGGAGCAGCAGCAGCAGCAGATCAGCTGCTTTGTTTGTCAGTACCACAACCCTGCCCTGCCCAGATGAATTGGAGTAAACTCCACCAGATTCTTCTCAGCATTTTCTTAATGCTATTGTGTGAGGGCCTCTCAATGGTCTATAAAAGCCCCAAAGCAAAATGTTCATTTGGAACTCTTATTCCACAAAGACCCCATTCTCACAGAATCCTAAGCAATCTATTCTTCCCACCTTGGCCTTCTTCTCTACAGTCTCAGTGGCTACGACACTGAGCTTGTCAATCAGAAAGGTCACCAGTTCAGCTGTTCGAATCCCTAGGGCTGGGTAACAGAGTGAGCTCCCGTTACTTGTCCCAGTGTCTGCCAACCTAGCAATTTGAATGCAAGTACAAAAATAGAGACCACCTTTGGTGGGAAGGTAACAGCGTTTCAAGCGCCTTCGTCATTTAGTCATGTTGGCCACATGACCACAGGGACGTCTTTGGACAATGCTGGTTCTTTGGCTTTGAAATGGCGAGAAGCACCGCCCCCTAGAGTCAGGAATGTGCGAGGCAGTGGTGGATTTCAAAAATTGTTGGAACCTACTGTGGGTGTGGCCTCCTTTGTGGGAGTGGCTTGCCACCCATGTGACCGGATTGGAGTGGCTTGCCGCCCATGTGACCGGATATGAAATTATGAATTAGTACTTAGGTCGGTCCAAGTAGCTATTCAGAAACTCTGGCATTGAAGCATGCAAGTCTTAAAAGCTGTCAAGTTACAAGATCCTTGCATCCCTAACCCTTTAGAAAAAAAAAACTAGGGGTCTTCAAACCTGACAGCTTTAAGACTTGTGGACTTCAACTCCCAGAATTCCTCCTTGTCATGTTGCGGTGACGTGATCTGCGTGGATCTGCTCCATCTTCACTTTTTTCACAGAGTGCAGGGCTGCCGCTGAAGATGCCGATGAGCCCCCACTGCCACCAGAATAACTGCTGCTGCCTCCTCCTCCTCCTCCTCCAACAGCACCACCACATTTGCTGCCTGGTGCTGCGGCTGAGGTGAAGCCGCCAAAGCTCCCGCTGGCACCCCCGCCTGTGGCAGCAGTGACGGCGCCTCCCCCTCCACTTGGAGCACCTGAGCTGGGCTCTGTGTTATCCTTGTCGCTGTCTCCTCCTCCGCCGTGCTTTTGAGAAGCCATAAGGCCATTTTTTCCTACTCCTGCCCCCCCACCTTCCTACTGGCTCCTGCGGCCTCATGGCTCCTCAAAAGCATGGCAGAGGACGGGGCAGGGGTAACGCGGTGCCCAGCTCAGGTGCTCCGAGCGAAGGGGGAGGTGCTGCTGCCACGGGTGGGGGTGCCGGCAAGAGCTTCACCTCAGCCGCAGTGTTGGACTCGGGCAGCAAATGTGGTACTGTTGGAGGAGGAGGAGGCAGAAGTTATTCTAGTGGCGGCGGGGACTTTGGAGCTTCACTTCAGCTGCAGCACCAGGCACAAGCGGCTAGAACTGGCCACCCACAAAGGAGCTCCCCGGCTTGCTTTGCTGAACATGGGGCGACTGACGCTAGTTTGAGCGGCTGCGGCCAACGCAAACTACCGTCAGTCGCCCAGTGCTCAACAAAACAAGTCTGGGGAGGTCCTTTGCGGGTGGCCAGTTCTAGCCGCCTGCAAAGGACTTCCCCACACTTGCTTTGCTGAAAATGGGGCAACTGACGCTAATGAACAGTGCAGCTGCGCACCTTACAGGGAACATTGCCGGCATTGCCGTAAGTTAATTACTTCCAGGTTCACCGACCAACCATTCCGCAAGGACCGGTAGGAACCCACCCCTGGTGTGAGGGGAACTTTTACTTTTGCCTTTACTTACAAATTGCGCTGTTAAATATGTATTTGCTTGTTTGTATTCCACCTTTATTATTTTTACAAATAACTCAAGGGGGCGAATATACTCATCATCACCTTCCTCCTCCTATTTTCCCCACAATCGGTACTTTCTGAATCCTCTCTCCTTGAATTTATGGAAATGCCTCCAAAACGTTGCTCAGTTTCTTATTGAAAAGTCCTCTGACTCCATTCTGCAGGTTGTACTGACTGAGCAAGGCAAGGAATGCCCATTTACACCTATTGTACTGAGACACATAACTTATATAAATGAAACAACATAACCTGTTGTGGGTTTAATTTAATTTATGTATCTGACAAGATATTATCCTAAAGTTACAAGCTTGTATGTATGCATGACTATGTTAGGGGATTGTATGCATTTTATGTACTTTATTTCTGAGGGATTTCACTGTTTAGAGTTTAATTTAAGAGTAGGCTTGCCTAATGCTGCAACAAGTGATAAGGATTTAATATAAGATTCAAAATTGTCAGGTGGCAGGAAAAATAACAATCATTACTTTGAAAAGATACCAAAAGTCATGAGGAAAAGCATACTGTGAATAGGACTGTCTCAACTTACACACTCAATTTGGAATTCCCCCCTTTTCCCCTTTAACTTTGGAAATGTCAGAATAAAACTACAGTATTGTATTTTTTATGTTTTCTTAAAATGCTAATGAAACATAGACTATTTTAAAGCAACCGTTCTTTTCTCCAAGTCTTTATACCTGATATCCCAATGAAGTATTTTAAGTAATATTACAATCAATATAATTTTAAACTTAAAAGAGAGGAAAGTCTACCTATTGCCTCCTCAATTTCCCACCACTGTTAATCAACAATGCAGTCAGGACAGATGAATTCATAGGATAGATGACAAAGACGACTAGAAGCTGCCCCCATTCCATCTTACTCCTGCCTCTTTCCATATTCTTTTGTTGACCTCCCCCTTTTAATTGGTGGCTCTTTTGGGAGCAGACCTGCATTTGTGGGAGGGTACAATGCGTGTAGCATATCTTGGGGAATCATAATATAGAAAATCAACATTTAGGACTGAAGTGTAAGTCCTCAATCAGCTTACAAATCCAAGCACAAGCAGCTCCAGTGAATGTGCAGTATCACTTAGCCCTTAGGTTCACTGTCAAATAGTTTTTTCTACAATATGCCTTTCTGCAAATTAAGGCTATTATTCCATGTCCTGCACTCTGGGATGACAGAGAAGAGGTACTGGTACATCTGTATGAAAGGGTTATTACACCTGATCTTAGTTGGGTCCCCTTCCCCCTCAAAGCTAAACATACATTCAGTTTGGTAATCTGTTTCAAAAAACTGTTTTAAAGTTATGTTGCTCAGAATTGGCCACAAAAACTAAGATCAAGTTCAGTCTGGCAGAACAGAGTGGAACTATTACTTCCTATGATAGGGAAATTATGCATGTATTGATGAAGCCTAAAACAATATTTGTTTTTTGCAGTCCCATCACATTGTAAGTTTCATCTAGAGTTTATCAAGTATATTTCTGTCTTCTCTTTCCAAAGCTAAGCAAACATATTTCCTCTAATTGTTTTTGGTATATTTATCCTTCTGATCTTATAATCTTGGTTGCCCCTTCTAGTCACATTGTAATTTAATACTGCCCTTCCTAAAATTTGGTGTCCATTTCTGGCTGTACATAACCATTCAAGGTACATAACCAATGCAGTAAATGAACAGTTACTTCTCTTGAACTTGGCAATAGTCTTTGATTGATGCAATCTAGGAATGCATTGACTTTTTTCGTCTTCTGTATTAGAAACTCAATCTTTTCATATATTCATTGTTCACGTCTTTTTCTTTGTCCCCTTTTAACTTTCCTATAAATCTTTAATCTTGATATACATAATAAATACTTGAATTCCTGACCCTAACTACATTTCTTTCTTATGAGCAAACTACTGCTGAAAGAAAAATTGCTCCTTGCATCCTCCAGAGTAAACCAAAACAGTGAGGAATGTCTCTAGGGAAGTGGCTGGTGGCAGCATTATTGCCATATATCTTCCCAATAGTGTTCTGAAGGGTGCAGTAATGTTTTAAATGAAGGATTTAGAGATGTGCTCATGGGAAGCAAAGGGACCAACTCTATAAAAGCTTGTATTAAGATTTATCATGCATTCACAAAAACATTTCCATATAAGATGGATAGATAATCTCCACTGAAATACACTGTATTGCATTCATGCAAAATCAAGGAGTAATAATATGACTCAGGTTTTTGTTATGACTATCCATCACCTCAAAGAGAATGCTTACAGCATGCTTGCATTAAGAATCTGTCAATACATTTTTATGTAACTTTACTAACAACTATGTAGCATTTGTCTTCCAAAGCATGGCTGTTTCCAGATGTGCTAGGACTCTTAACTGATTGCAGAATTAACAAAGCAAATATTGTCTTTGTCTACATTGGAAAAATGTGTACATTATTACACATTTATGAAATGCATTTAGTAGGCTTTGCTATGGAACTAAACTCAAAAACTTCTATAAATATTAAAAGGTGGGGAATCATACTCTGAAGTTACAAGAAAGTGGTACCAACCTACACACTCACACATATTAAAGCTCTGTTAAAAAAGGGTGTGCATTGTGACAGCCTACATTTCAGAACAATGCTTAATAACACCTTTTTTCTGGGAGAAAGTGACAGTTTTGACAGATATTTGTATTTTAAAAAGTCTTTATTACAAATTTGCTCTTCTCACAATGTGACTGCTATACACTATGACACACTCTAATCACTGGTTGTGTGTGAGATCTGTTACAGATTCAGTTTTTTCTATGACATCCAGAGAGTTTTATGATTATGTCAATCTGTTAGAAAGAATCTCTTTATAAGCAAACAATAAAATAGGAGGTATGCACAAGAAGCCAATGAAACTCATACAATAAAATATTTGATCTGGATATAAATATGATTTCATAAAAATATGTATACAAATGGAATCTGGTTTATACACAGATCATGCTGACCAAATTAGAACCAGAGCCTGAACTTGCAATTGTTTATTGAGAAAGCTTGTAAGCTTCAACATTCCAATATCCATTGACATCATTAAAAAAAAATCTCCTATATATCATTTAGATAAAAGAACTGTACACATTAAGAGGGCAGATTGGCTACACAGGTTCTCTAGGCAACCAATGGGGCCATTAAATGATTGAATGCATGGAATGGTAAACAGATCAGCCCAGTGCAAGGTAAGTTGTCATTTAAAGGAGACCATGCCCTTTAGTAAGAGTGCATTATTTCCAGTGTTTTCAATAAAAATATCACAGACATATAAAACAGCAGCATCTGTACTGCACATTAGTGTTAAGTGCAGCAAAGAAGCCAGGATATTTTTAAAAGTCTCTAATTGGTAATAAGATAACCAGTGCAAAGACGACACTCTTGCCTCATGCTGCTTTTAACACCCAAAATAATATTTTAGAATCGTAAAAAGATGGCATTTAAAAAGAACAGGCAATTGTGCGTAAAGTGAATAAGATTTGAGATCAGTAGACAAGCACACAATGCAATTTCCCAAATAGTAAAAGAAAAAGGCCTGCAAAAGGCACAAGAGGACCAAATGATAAGCATCCCAGACTATGAGAATATGATCTTGGAATTGAAGAAGAAAAAGAAGAGGAGATGGTTAAATCATTCAAACAGTCTTCTAGACATCAGAACTGTTAACAGTTTTGAACCTCAAGTATGCATGTTTCTACTGAGGTGCAAAGCATCCAGAAAATAATTAAGACAACAGTGTTTAGCAAATCTCCCAGCGTCATCCAATGTCACTCAATTTTCAGTAGTGAAACATATCTTATACAATTCTTGGCAAAGTGGAAGCGGTGAGTCAGACACAGCCATATTCATACCAAACCGTTTGCTGATCAACAGGGGGATCGGTTGATGAAGGAGGGTTCTTGGAACCAAGTCCTTTGTTTGTTTCCTCAATGCCCTCTGCCAAAATTTTATTTTCTGGTGATGGATTTGGGCATTTGGCAATCTGAATGTCAATTGAACCACCTCCCTGAAGATTGTTCCCTTCTGAACTGTTAGGAACAATTCTGACAGGGGTCCCAGTGGAGACCTCCCCACTTTGCAACAATGACTTTGATTTGGTTTTAGATCCATACTGGGGAGAACAGTGTTGCTCTAAATCTACTTTTGCCCGTTCCTGTGGCTGAGAGGAAAGATCATCCTTAGAAGTGGTGGAAGAATAAGAAAATGGAGGGAACAAGAGTGACCTCTCATCTTTCGGAGGAGCAAGAGAAAGGCGCCTGACATCAAGTTGTCGACAACGAGAATCCACACTTTGCAAAGAACCGGTTATCTTTGTAGGCTGTGATCGTTCCCTCAGAAAGCTCTGTGAAATAGAAGCTAAAGGCAACTGGGAAGTCTGGCTGTCTGAGTCCTTGCCTATCTGCCTATCTGCAGCCACAGGCTTTGGAAGACTGTCATATCGTCTGTATACATCGGCGCTAGTGGCTCTCAGAAGATCTGCTGAAGCCAAGCTATAGGTCCGGTTCAGTGAAGCACTCTGCCTGCCCATGTTGTTATTCTGTTGAGAGGATGTCAATGGTTTTGATGCTCGACTGGCTTGATTTCGAGGTCCATGGGTAAGCTTGTTGGAGTTTGCCACAAGTTCCGATTCTGATGGTCCAAGATTTGGTTTCAGGTAGTGGCCTGGTTTAGGTGGTCTTCCATCTTCAGCGGCCCCAGGCAACTTTATAGTTGGAGTGACATAACTGGTGGGTGTCTTGCTTGGCTCCTTCCTGTACGACTGTGGAAACTGACCTCCAGGGCATGGAAGCTCACTGGCTTTTCTGAAATAGTCACTCAGCAAGTCATCTTTACCGGATACATCCTAAAAAGGATTGAATTAAAATTTTATTTATTTATATATTAAACTTCTTAAATCCGATTTCCCTCACAGAAAAGCTATGGCCAGTAACTTAATCAGTAATTTAATGAATATTTATTATTTATTTATCACAAAAATACTTATTCTTAATAATAGCATATCTATAACATAAAATACAAATCCGTTTTAATGGGTTCCACCACAAATGCGTGAACAACAAAAGCGCACCTGACTAAACCGCGGTGACAAAACTGCGCCGACAAAACCGCGCGCCGAATGAGCCCTGAAGCGCGCCGACAACAGCGTGCCGACAGAAGCGCGCTGTAACCTAACCCTAAACCTAACCCTAAACCTAACCCTAAACCT